TTCCTGATTCCTGATTCCTCTTTCCTGATTCCTCTTTCCTGATTTCTGATTCCTCTTTCCTGATTCCTGATTCCTCTTTCCGGATTCCAGATTCCTCTTTCCAGATTCCTAATTCCTCTTTCCTGATTCCTGATTCCTCTTTCCGGATTCCTGATTCCTCTTTCCTCTTTCCTCTTTCCTCTTTCCTCTTTCCTCTTTCCTCTTTCCTCTTTCCTCTTTCCTCTAACTCAACCACACTCCAGGATTTTCCTTGTGTATCTCTATTGTTTTTCCTCTTGAAAATCTTGATAAACCCTTGAAGAGATCATATTCAAAATTTATTCATTCCTTAATGTTTTCCTTCTGTATTCATGAGGGTTTATCCACCAAAACCCTTGATTGAACAGAGCAAAAACTCTCATAAAATTTAAGCTTCCCTCAATGTTTTCTACTAACTCTTTCAATGTTTTTCAGGCCTATGAACCATCATAAAACTGTGGCAAAATCCAGGTTGATGTCAGACTACCTTCAATTTTTTTTTGTGAATATCTTCAATGTTTTTTCCAATAGAAAACATTGAAAAAAGTGTGTTAAAGCTGTACTAAACTTCCATTTTCCAATAGTGTTTTTTCTATTGAAAACCAATTAGAAAATGGGGCTGACCTCTAATGTTTTTCTCATGTTTTCATTGGGTAAAAATCTCTCAATGCTGCCAGTGAAATGTGGATAGAGTCCGATACAAGTCTGTGATCATACGGATGACATGTTGAGATGAGGGGGGATTCGAGCCTCACCCGGGATAGCAGTGGACCCTCGCAAACGCGCGGGGTTTCTCATTCAACTAGCTACGAATTAAATACATCGAATTTAGGCACAAAAATGAATAGAATTGGAACTATACAGTTGAGAACAAAAACGAAATGCACCTGTGCTGAGCAGCTGATAGTTCTGCATATAAGGCACCGGAGCTTGTGCAGCGCTCATACCTTGCTGCACCGCTCTTCATATTCCAACATGACACTATGACTTTACGAGACTCTACACAGTGAGATAAGTCGAGCGGAGGCATGTATTCCGATTGGTTCTACGCAAATTGCGAACCGGCGTTCCACGACAATAACCGAGAGATCACTCCTTGAACCCTACCACCACGACCTCATCTTCGTTGAACATGCAATCGCAAAATCCGAATCCTCCATGGACGTTCTACGATTTAGCTGGATTGATACACCAGGCACAATACCATCCGAAGCTCACAGGTTCAAACAAAACTACCAGATTAGGGACTAAGTCGATTCTCGTCCAATCCCGGTTCTTATCAACCTTTTTAATTACATGCTGTTATGCAGTATCACCTTCGCAGCCTCTTATTTTCTTCCGCCCAACATCGATTACGAACGAACTTCTCGATTCTGAAAACGAATATATACTCGATTAATCTACAACCCTCCTGGTCTATCACCTCAGGCTCTGCGATGTATCCCAAAAGCGCGTGGGTGCGACTTAGCTTCAAACCCGGGTTCCTTCAGCAACTTGAAACTCTGTATCACGGATAACGTTCCAATCTTCTTTTTTTGCCCAGTACTTGTGTCACCCTCAGGCTGCGTTGCTGGTGTTGTTGGTGTACACTGATGATTCGCCAGAGATGGCCGAGCGGCTCTTCGCTAGCTGGCCGTCAGCCGGGTGATCTGGGATTTGCGCATGCTCATATCTTGGAGTGTACATCGTGTCGCAGCTCGCTGGTGTGGTTGACGTGGAGAATATCGGCGGTGGGCGATGTGTTGGTGTCGTCGGCATCCTGTAAATGGTAGCGGGTGTCGGCACATGTATAACATGTGGGAGTGGTTGAAGACTCGCGATTATGGATGTTATACGGGAAGGATAATGCGGCGCCTGAGTCTACCGGGCTCAATGAATATTGGGTGTGCGGCAGGGCGAGCTGTGAAAACTGGCAAAATTGACGCCGTCCTGGGTATTCATTCCCAGTCATATAGACAGGCTGGTTCATCTGCTCTACACGCCGGGATTTGTAGCAGTACCGTAACTCGATCACAAAGTGGTTGGTGTATTGAATATTTGTGTGTTTTATAGATGAATGTGAAAGCCTGTCGTCAGATAGGCTCACTGCTCAGTCGCAATTGAGAGGACCTGAGTATATTTGTCTAGAACAGAGGACGATGATGGTAGTATGAGTTTACGGTTGCTACCTTTATGTAATCTTGTGGAATACTGAGGGCCGAGGCGCCAGGATTACAGAATGTTTATGACTTATGGTACACCGTCTACATTTAAGCTGTTACTGTTCATGATACTCCGCTCATACTCGGGATAATAGCTGTATAAAAACTAAGAAAAATTCAGACTTCGTGAGTAAACAACTACCAACCTCTGATTATTGTGCGGCGAATACCAGGGACCCTATTCTTGGGATGTAGCCTCGGGGGCTGCAACGTAGATATGTCATCATTCATTAAATTAGAAGGAAGTAGAAATATTTGTGAATGAAGTGAACTCACGATCGGTTGAACGACGTTGCATGCATTAGACTTTCTTCGGCAGACATGTGCCTGGATGGGAGAAAGCTGAATTATTGATTTGCTTATTTCTCTGATTACATATGTAACCAAACAAAGAGGGGAACCTGAATCTCAACACATATTAACATTTGTTCGATAATTAATCGTGAAATAACAACTCTTTGGTACGACGATAGAATAGCCAACCCATCTCATACGAATACGACGTTGGTGGAATGGAAAGCTATATTTCTTCTCTTCATTGTATACCTATGTCGACTACCACACAATGCGCCGCATTTCGTCCGAGCCGAAACGCCGCGAAAAAAAAAGAAAGAATAGCCAGCGAGGAATGGCTTCGAGGAAAGGATATCAACGAGACAAAGGCTAGCCGCAAAGCCAAATATGGTATCACTACATTGATGAAGATACCGCGTTACCAAGTTCGTTCCTTCAAATCTTCCCAGTTCGGTCGAAACGTCTAGTCCAGACACAACGCTAGATAACAACTTGGTCCGCAGCCATTAATTTGAATTCATCAACACTTCGAGCCTATTTTCGTCTTCCCTATGACTCCTCCAGCAGCGAGCGCATCATTCCCCGGGGCCGCAACGAAAATAGCACCCTTGACGTAGAAAAATGAATAGGCATACCTACTTTACTTACGAATCATCATCACTTTCGTTTGTAAGTAGTCTATATTACCCTGATATTACCATCAAATGACCTGTGAACCCGTAGAAACAGAACATGACAGGCTGATAGGAGCCAATTTAGGCGACAAAGCGGATCAGCGGCGTACGTACGTATGCTTCGGTAGGCAATCGTAGCTGGTACAGTCGAAATTCTCATAATGCATATGCTCGGGAGCGCTCAATTTCTATGCATTATGAGAAATATGCATTGTCAGATAGCGTGACACATGTCACGAATGGCCTGAGATGTGACACTTTCCTTTCCTGGGCTACCTTGCCGAGCTCCGGCTAGTAGATTCCCCCTGTATTTCACCTTAAAAAGTCTTTGAGCTCCCAGTAAACAACCCATGTACAGAAATAATACCTGATACAACACTTAATGACCAGTTGAGGCCCTCCGGTTAACCATTTAGGCACTGCAACCCTCAATAAATACTCTCTCATAATGCATAAACCTACCTAAACCCTTATGCATTATGCAATATGCATTTTTATTGGAAACATACTAGGGAGCAGCTCAAATTCAATGCATTACGAGATTTATGCATTATGGAGCTATGCATTATGAGAATTTTGACTGTATGTGCTTTGATGGCACATAAGCGAGGCGAGGGACTATATGAGGAGGACAACGCGAGCAACTAACTGTATCTGTATCTAAGTCTGCTCCTATTCAGCTTTAAACGTTAAACAATGTCTCACTCCGAAGAACTTGCAACAGGTCTCACTTGCAACAGGTCTCATTGCGAGGCGGGTTGTCACCGGTCTGGGGGAGGATGGTAAAGCGAAGATATTATACGATGATAGGGAAGGGAAGGTAGAGTACGTTCACTTATCGCTTTAATATGGCTTATCCGGGTTCTGACTTCGACGGCGCATATTCAACTAGGACTTTTCCTAGCGGCTCAAAGTACGTCATCCCGTCTGTAAATTAAAATGACAATGTCGAGTCTTATTTTATCTGTCAGCTTTCAGACAGTGTGGTGGACTGATAACGTTCCCGCCGATGTTACGAGGGAAACGAATGAGGACCCGACGAAAGGAGAGAAGCCGTTTAGGGGACCTGTGAATGATGGGTCTGTGAGTATACGTAGCATTTTCAAGTTATCTTCAAATATAAATCATCTCCGAGATCTGACCAATATGATATATTTAGACAGGAATGTTCGTGAATTTCCACCCAGGAGCGAACGCACCCATGCATGCCACGAAGTCTATTGATTATGCTATTATCATTGAGGGAGAGGTGGAGCTGGAGCTTGAGAATGGAGAGAGGAGCGTACTCAAAGCTGGGTATGTTTAACGTGCCATGATAAAGAGAAGGAATTACTCATTTAGTTTATTTTTATAGCGACGTAGTTGTCCAAAGGCAGACAAAGCACGCATGGCATAATCCCCATCCAACGAAATGGACGAAGATGTTCTGTGTTTGTATCGCGACGGCGAATTCGGGGGAGGAGAAGAAGGATTGACTAATGACGGGGGTTCGGATTTCGCCTTTTTGTAAAATCTTCCTGATTTTGGAAGATCGATTCTCATTGTATTAATATATTCTATTCTATTCACAAGTGATTCGGATTCGATATTTCTGATCTGGAATAAGCATGTATGGAACATTTCGCCTTTTATTTGACTCCATTGTCGATACTTTAACCAGGTGCTTGGGCTGGCCGCGATGTGTGAAATTATTGGTTTGCTTATGACGTGGTGGTCTAGAGGTATGATTCCTTCTTAGGGGTTTATTGTTAAATGAATCATGTGGGGGAGGTCCTGGGTTCAATTCCCGGCCAGGCCCTTTTATATTTATTTTTGAGGCTGAATAGCTCAATTTACAACGAGAAGCATAGTACCGTGCAAATTCTAGACACAGAGTAATCCCTGGTGAAGGTATAATATAGCAGCCTGAGTTCTGCTCGGCGAAATAATATAGTGAGTATCTTCGACGATAAAGTACGTTTGAAGAATGGTATTATGCGTCACCTGCTAATAATGCCTACATGTATAAACGACTTGGGTCACGGTCGGAGTCGTTTCAATCCAACTAAAGCCTCCCTTGAAGTATATTGAAAGGGAAAGGCTTGTCACGAAGAGAATATACTTGTGTAAGAACAATCCAACATTGCCAGTAACTTTGGTATCAATTGTCTGGAACCTCTACCTTTGAGTCTTGACATGACTAATGTCATGTAAGTATTCAATTTAATTAACTTGAAGCACTGCCAATCTCCTACTCAAAAGTCAAAATGTGCCTATTATCATTTCGGTATTTGAGTAACTTCACATCGAGTTTATGACATATTTCGGGGGAATCCAAACAGGTCCGGGCACGGGGAATAAGCAAATCCAAGTGGACTGCCGTTGAGGAGATATTTCTGCTTATCGTTACTTGATCGTTAAAGTTCCAAAAAATATTCCTCGATGGAGGAAACAGGCTAATCAATCAAGCTCAAACATCGAGGATGAATCTTTTTCAATGGGCGTATATTATTCAGTAGATATGAATTATTATTAATTAGTAAAGAGTAGATCATCCCGTATGCATTATCAATAATTAATACGTACTACGGCACCAGTGGTGACTGACCTGAGATATGCCAACAGGGTAATATCATCCTTCTGGTATATATTTCAGTGGTTTCCTCTCACTGTCTCTGTTGGATATTCACACCTGTATGGCATATGCCAAAAATTAATGTTACACTCCAGGACTGCAGCCTGTAATTATATGCATTGCCAGTAATAATATACCACTTGATTCTCTGCCTGAAAGCATATATGGGATAAATATGGAAGGAGTATGAGTTAGCATACACATCAATATATACCCTATATTGGAGGTTGGATTCCAGGTGGTTCCCCGTGGTGTATACAAATGATAGGGATTAGTGGCGCGTAGCCTGCCCATGAGCATATATCCCCATAGAACCTCAAACCCAGCCATCCTTTACATTCCCTATCCCTGCATTCTGAATGACCCAATAAAACTATTTTATTCCACCCAACAAGGATATTCAGAGGAAGTATATGAACCAGATTCCAGGTGGTGAAGGACATTGGATGCCCATATGCAAACATATACCGAACAGAGTCACAAGCTTTGCAATATGCAGAGTCATATACTAATTATATTTGCAAGATAGAACAAAGATGTATGCCTATCTTTCAGCATATCTGACCGCTAGCAGTGAACCGGGTGATATTCACAGCACATCTATAACTCGGATTCGGGTTGAGAAATCAAATAGAATCCCAACAATCAACATCCAATTTCGAGTGACCCAGCCATCCAGGTGTCGGTTTAGCTTTGTGTATAAATGGTATGTCAGCTCAACCTTTGCTATGGTCTGTGTCACTAACATGAAAATCTAGGCCATGCACACCGCTGGTGTCTGAGTGATTTTCCGTTGAGTTTAAATTCATTATGCTACTGCTTTCAATAAGGCCGTCTATATAGTATTTAGGTGCTTTCTATAGATGTAATGGCTTACTGTATTTCACTGTACATAGTTATAATGAATATACTATTGCTGATTTTATTTTCGATTTTATTTTGAATAATTGAGAATCAATAAGGAATAAACTATTATTGACTATCAAGAGTATGCATGTTCGAGTGCCTACCATCGCTATCCATAGCATCCACTGCAGCTAGTATACCAGAAAATGAGGTAGTTGCTACATGAGCTAGGGAAGGTATCATAGCGTACATAAAGTATGGAAGCTACAAATGCTATAGTGGCTATATTACCTTGATAGTGTCTGCCAACTTTTGTGATGCAATAGATGCATCAGGAAAGTTGGCAACTGCTATATAGTCTATATAGCGTCAGTAGACACCGTAGCCTCTGTAATTTATGTACACTATGGTAGTCTCCATAGCATCCATAGAGGTCGTATCATTTTGTGCTAGCGTAGTGGCCGCTGGTACTACAGATGTCTATGCAGTAAACTATAGAGCCTATAGTTTCAGTAGGCATGTGTAGTACCATTTTTATTGGTTATTCTTATTCATGAAATACAATAATTATCATGCAGAATGACGCAGTACGTTAGCCAAAAAATCAAGATATATATTTCGTATTTAAATACATGGATTAATTCTAGTTATTAGTAATTGCAGTGGTTAGCATACGGAGCATGGGAGGATTAAAAAGGAAGGAGAATAGAGCGAAGGTTTCGAAGCCAAGTATCTATTAGTATAGCATGTATCTGTTCACGGAAGGGAGGTTGTTTAGAGCAGCACAACACACATTCAGAAGAGATAAACATACCCCAAAATCCATCGCCGTGTTGTCATGCTGTATTCTCCATCATCCTCAATCCCTCATTGTGATGGTGTCTTAAGCCAGCTGAATTGCCATATGATTAGCTGGCAAATGATTGTCGGCACTCGTGAGGTACATACCTAAGGCTGAGAAGTTTTCACGAGTATCTATCTCCACCGCTGCCTCTTCCAAACCATGGTGAACCACCGAAGCCTAGACATAATGACACCACAATTGCTGCGGATGGATTAGTCTGAAGGTGATCAACTAAGAGATAAGCACTGGTGTAGACCCACCGACAACGACGAGACTTGACTCCTTGACTAACTAGATCTTGTGGTAACTTCAATGTATTTATATAGACATGATAGGAGAATAAGTACATGTACCTTGGTTCGTGGTCAGAATGTCTGAAACATGCAGCTGAGGGAGTGGGGAGAGGATTCGTGTTGGAACAAAGCTAAGTTGTGACAAGGGACCTGGTGCTCATAATTGTTCAAACCAGCGGAGTTCATTTACAAGTCAGTAGCGAGAGCTAGCGAAAGTAGCAAGGCAATATTTATGTAGACATTTGCTAGCTTGTGTAATGCTACGGAAAAATTAGACGCCGTTGCCTGTTTTCCTGATGTGTGCTCACAACAAGGATCATCTGCATGGGTGTGGCTCTACTTCACGACGAAGGCTGCGTCGCTCAACGTTATACACGTAAACCATATTCAATTAATACATCATCAGATCCAGCCCTTCTGAGAACGTGTACCGGTAAATCCACGTAGATCAGGGGGCCAAAGATGTCTAACGGGTTTGAGAGCCTCAACCAGTACGTGGGTTCTCTGTCCTAATGCCCGCAGTAATAGGACACCGCATTCCAACGCAAGCGTTCTCATTTCCCGATCATATCTGTTGAATGCTGAATGCTGACTGGTTCCGCAGATAATCCATCCCAGAGATTAAGCTATTTGAACGCGCACCTTTCTCGCACTCTATGATATCTAATGATGGGGCCTGTTGGTGTATGAAATACAGTGATATAATCGCACGACATTTGAGGTCCCTAGTCTAGAACGGAGACATAGATCCTCTATTGAAAATGGTTTACGACACGTGGGATTTCCGAAAATATAAGTAAAATACTCACTGAAGAATTTTCAATAAAACTTTGATCATCACTGCATTACAATTAATAAATACCGGCGTATGCAGTATGGTCTGAATAATAGTATCGAGAACGCAACTGATTCGAAACCATTCCCAAGTGTCACGTCTATTGTGAGATATCTTTGAAATACCCGGAAGAATATTGCTGAAGAGGTCCGTTATAAGAACGTCATGACCCACTATATCCTTAAACTTCCCAATGTACACCGAACAGTATGCCAACGTAGCTATTTCGTATGGTCGCCTGGTCTACATACCGCCTCCGTTAGAAAGTCTAACCACGTCGATGACGTTCAATATATATGGAATTTGTTATATCGGTGTACTTATCCTTCAGAACAATGTCGAGCAAGCTCATGTAGGGCCTCTTTCCCTTCTTGTGCAAGAAAGAACCCGCGTTCATGAGCGACTTTAGCGAGATTCCACAGACGATAATCCAAACACCCTTCCACCCTTCTATCTTGGTAACTGTTGCCATATTGAGCACAGGCAAGTTCGCGTGCAAGAAGTGAAATTGGCCTCGAGAAAGTGGCAGAATGCTGCATACTGGGCATCTGAGACTCTAGTGCCAATGATTGGAATATTCTTGCCACATTAGCTAGCCGTCGGAAAGGTGTATGAGTTGTGTATATGGCAAGTCCCCTATATTATATGGATCAGCCTGCGAATTCTAAGAGACCTTAGCCTAGTTACAATGAAGTCAAAATGAAGTCAACCAAAGTGTCGTTTCTGGATGTAGTTACAGTTGCCGACATACACTGTGTCGTCTTTGATATGGAGAATCGTATTGCAGTTGTATTAATAGTTTTAAGGCCGGTCTTCTGACTAGGCTGCATCAGGAAACCTGGCAAAACGCTACAGAGGCTATATAGTGACTATAGTGACCATAGCCTCTGTAATTTATGTACACTATGGTAGCATCCATAGTGCACCTGAAAATTGCCTAGCTTTCTGCTAGGATAGCGGCCGCAGGCACTATGTGCAGCAATGCTAGAAATCATAGGCCTCATAGCCTTGATAGGGCAGTATAGAGTGATTTTATCAACTGTTCTTGATTATTTAATTCAATTTCACCTCCAATAGATAGTAATAAATGTATGAAATATTGATATATATAGTTAGAACTAATTACAAGGATGTCAGGGAGACGGTACTATACTACAAAGCTATTCTGGGACTGGGCTGATAAAATGAGCAGAGGGTTTCAAAAAAATAAAATTCATATGAGTATTAGAGAAGATCTGAGTAGTTTTGACATACTCTGGTGGAGGGTGATCAGTGCCATTCGAGATACATAGCAGTATAGACCTACTATGAGAATACTTCGGCCTAGGGAGCGGGTGGATGTTACTAATGCTAGCTAATATTTAGA